CATCCCGGAGTCATCTTTGGAAAACAGTCTCGACCAGTCGAACCACGAACGCCGTGCTACAAGCTGAACTATGACTTGGAATCTCAAAGTTCAGCTCACTTAGCATGGCGTTAGTGGTTCGACTGGTCGAGGCTGTTTCCCAAAGATGGCTCCGCGATGGTACTGTCTTTATAAAGTCTGTATACTTTATACTGTCTGTACACTTACAAAGTTCTCAGTGCTTCGGTTTGGACCCTCATTATGCTACCGTGTTAGTGTGGGGCTATTTTGAGCATTGTTAGTGGTATTAACTAGCAATTTCTTTTTACTTATTATATGCCAACATATACTAGCATTATAATCTAAACCGTTTTTAGAGATAGAACTCTTTACATTCGATTATCATGAAAACAAATCCCAGAGAACGGTCGACTCGGTACCAATGTGTTATTACACCCCAGGTTCATTTTGTGCAGGAGTTCTCCTTTAATACTGCATCCTATATTAAGCTAGTGAAGTAAATTGTCGTAAAAGCTGTGAAAGTCCTTTGGGATGACTTCCTTCAGGTCTTGGAGGTGTTTGAATTTCAGCTCTTTGATCTTCAGGCGGTCTGAATAGAGTGGGGTGACTGTGTGGCTGTCTGAGGTGGAGTTTCGGAGTTGGTGACTTGGATGTGAATGCCAGTCATCAGAGTGGTTGATTTTGAAGTCCATCGTTCCATTGTTGTTGTACCTAATAGCACAAAATATAACACAACAACATAATCACTGTAAGATTTCATAAAACAATATGCAACATCATAATGTCATGAGTATATTGGTAAGACATAAGATTTGCATTGGTAATTACCTGATGGCTCTGATATCATGGACAGTTGGGTCACCAGGTCTTCCTCCAGGGCGCAGAGACTTGCAGAGCCTCAGCTTGGTGAAGTCCTGGAAGAAGGTGTGGTCGATGTACTTGACTTCATATGGATGAGGCTTTACACGGGCCCTCTTCATCAGGTTAACATACTCTGCTGGGAGATAAACATCCTGGTCCCTCAGACGCCTCTCGATGACGCTGTGAACGGAGTCGCATTCCATCTGAGTATGCCCTTTCTCAAGGTACTTCTGAATGACGACTTTGTTATTCTTCATGGAGAACAGAAGAAGTGCATTGCTTAGAACTGCATTCCGGTTCTGATACCCGCAGCCGTCACTCCACAGAATAAATGTGTCAGGCTCAGTGTGTGCAGAGAGGTAGTCGACAATGCATGAAACAAACTCACTGGCAGACAGGGATCCCTCGCCTTCATGCCAGACATAACATGTGGCACTGTGTGTCAGCATGTTGTACATGGTAAAATTGTGAACAGCAAGCTTTGTTTTGTAATACAAGGCAGAGGCTTTTAGCTTTGGGCACAAAAGGAGGGCTTGTAAGTCCATACATAAGACCATAGTGTTGTTGCTGGCCTTGCTTTTGTCGGACAACTTTTCGGCGCGGGCCTCTTCTTTTTGAAGGAGATGGTGCTGCCACTCGTCATCAGGTAAGTTGCCGGTCTTGAAAGCACAACAGATGTTGCACTGGTCCTTTTTTGGGTGGTAAAGGCCTAGGTTGAGACGCTTGAACTCATTTGTGAACACTTGCCTTGACAAAGGTGTTACATTCTTCTCTGCAGCAGCACGACAATACACTGCATACAGATCAGCCATCGATTGAAACACAGGTTCCAGATACTGTTTGGATGTTGTGGATCTGCAATAGTGTGAGGGCACCTTTGGGAGGTCGTGCAAAAAACTGCAAATGAATTCATGGCCTGCCACTGAACGACGTGCATTGCTGTGTGTTTGTCCCTCTGTCTCTGCTTGCGTGTGTCCCTCCTTTGCCCAGTTAAGAGCAGACCACTCGCCTATTCCTAGGGTAGACAAAAACATACTTTTGCAGACGCGTCTTCTCTGCCCGCTGACCCGTAAAAAAAACAACAGCGAATTTGATCTTCGGGAATTTTCAGCCCCCCTTCTCCTTTGCACGGGGACCACATCAATTAGACCACGCACATACACTCTCTTCTCCTCCCAGGTCACATGTTGCCAAAAGTCATTGAAAATCGTATTCCTCTCAGGCTCGCCGATTGCACTGCAGTGATGTTTACCTGACCTGGCACATGCTGCTGATGAACATCTAGGCCCCATAGCCCGTGGCTCCCTCATTGTTTCCTTCTGCTTCTGTTTTCCAATGTATGACTTTCCAACCATTCTTCTTTTCTTGTTGATGACTTTCTTCCAGGTGTTCTCAGCTCTCAGTCTTTTCCTTGGAGGTGCGTCTTCCTCAGCATCTGAGCATGAATGCTCTGCATCCGAGTCCTCATCGCCTCCACCATGGAAAACTTCAAAATACACACACAAACCAAACGTGCATGAATGAGTTACATCTTTATAAACTGTCAACAGTGAGGGCTATAGTTGAAGGACCTTATCCAATTTAATGAGAAAATGTAGAAAAGCATCAAACTTACCCGTGTCAAACTGCACCTGCTCTGGAGCCAGCAGTGAGGCCTCCTCTTCCTCCAGACCACCAGAGAAATCTTTTCAAACACATCATACAAATAGTGTGATTTTTTTATTATTTCTATTGTTGTGAAATACATCTGCATTAAAACTCATTCATTTTGGCATGTGAAATCATGATTATCTCTCAGAAATTCACTCTACCAGCATGCACCACTGTATCCTCCACCACTGTATCCTCCACCACTGTTGCTTCCTCTCTCTCTAACGTTACACTCTCTCCATCAGAGCTCTCACTGTCTAATAGGGCCCTTGCCTGATCATATGGCACATTGACCATCTGACAGAGTTCCTTTAAGGACACAGACATGGTTGCTGCAAAAAATAAAATAAATAAAGGTCAAATGATCGTTTCACTAAGTTATACGACATGTTTACGTATGATAACAAGGCAAGAAGCCAGCTAGCTTGCTTAAAGTGATGAACATGACGTAAAAGGTAGCTACTTGTTGAACATGACGGAATGCCTTGACATTGTAAGCTACAATACTGACATAGTACATTAAATTATTATGTTGTTCCTCAGATGAGTGCCAGAACTAGCGTTAGCGGGGGTCGAGAGGTTTTTATTTAAGCCCCACGAAAATCACGTTAGCTACCTATCTCACCTAACATGATGACAAAACCAATAACGTTACATAGCGGCTAACTAAGTCAACGACAGGCAATTTTTGCGGTTTAAATAAAATGTCCTCGTCAGAAACAAAACCATGGAAGATTTCAATCAACATGATAAGTTAACTTAGCTAACTTACCGTCCAATGCAAGACATAGCAGAAAGAAAAATCTAGCATCCTCAGAAATGATACATTACACTAAACTAGCACTACCATTACTTCGATCGAGATAAAACTGTTATATATAATATATAAACTGTTATTATTATATATTTTATATAACTAAATCATGAATAAGGACATTTACCTCAGAGGACGTGTTGCTCAACGAGGATTGCGACTTCCAATCTTGAGGAGAAAAAATGCCGCGAAGCTCCAGCGCGGCGGCGCCAAGTGAAGAAGGGGTGGAGTTACGAGGTTTCTCAGACAGTTGAAGTGTCCAATGGAGTTAAGAGGTTTGCTCACAAGCTATTTTCAACACTTTCGATTGGTTAATAATTTGTAAAAATAACAGACCCACGTGGAGACTGACCAATAGCATCGATTTGTGAAAAAATATTAAATTGACCAAATTTGGACATACGAGGTTTCCGCCCGACAGCGACGATATAGAGATCAGACAACAAAAATCAGAAGTTCAGTTTTGCTCCCATTTAACTCTAGGAAGTAAAATTAAGTTCCTGATGTCAGCGAAGCAATTTAGGGCATTCTCAATTAATATATATACCAGGGACGGCTGGTCTATTATGGGCGCTGGGGCGCCGCCCCTCCTACCAAGTTTAACAAAAAATAAAATTAAAAAAAGTTTAAGTTTGACAAAAAACATGACTTTCTTCTGTACAGGTGTACGTGTTTTATACACCAAGGACGGGGGGGGGGGGGTATTTTTGTGTGTCAGCTTCATCGTGTGCCGCATAACATCATAAATGTGTAGTTTTATGCTCGGGGCGCCGAGAAAGGGCGCCCTCGCTATCTAACCAATGGAGCTCTGATACGCTATTAAAACGTCACTAAATATGATCAATTCAACCAATCAGTGACGCGCAGTAATAATTCTCCGATGGGCGCTTTGCCTCTGCGCCCATCGGAGAATAACATGGAGTTTTACTCTACTTGGTGTGGTCACGTGGCAGTGAGATTCGGCGGGCGGAGCCAGCCAGTCAGTCTTTCTTGACAAGTTGACAATGGCGGCGCCGGCGGCACGAGAGAAAGAGACCGTGCAATCTCTTCTTCAAACTCCGTTTGAAAGACGACCACTGGCTGAAAAAATAAAAATAAAAGAAATGGGACCGGACCAGCCACAAATTAACATCAGACAGCAGGTGAAAGACTAGGAAGCGTCTTATACTAGAGGCTTTTCGCGGACATGGTACACTAGGAAGCCGTGGCTAACCGGCTGCGGAGTAGCTAACTCGCTGTTTTGCTTCCCTTGTTTGCTTTTTAAAACTGCAGCGACCGATCGAGCCTGGTGTGAAAACGGTGTTCAGGATATGAAACATTTTTCGGAAAAAATAAAAAAACACGAACACACAAAGATTCATATTGACAGCTGCCTGAAATTTGCGTTGCTGGGGAAGGCTAACATTGCTACTCAGTTGGATGATGGCCATCGTCTTTGTATAAGAAGGCACAATGAGGAAGTGGACAAGAATCGATATATTCTTTCTAAACTGATTGACTGTAAAATTTTGTGGTGCCTTTGAATTGGCTTTGCGTGGCCACGACGAGACTGAAGCCTCTGAGAACCCAGGCATTTTTAGGGGCCTTGTTAACTTCGCCTCGTCATTGGACGCTGCTCTGAAGGAGCACCTGGAGGGAGCTACTGTGTTCAGAGGTACGTCCAAAACGATTCAGAATGAGCTGCTGGACTGTATGCTACATTCACGAGGAGGTGACTGCGGCGGATTATATTGCCATTCAAGCCGATGAAACATCTGACGTGTCTGTCCAGTGCCAACTTGCCCTTGTACTTCGCTACATCGATCGCTACAATGTCATTCAAGAGCGCTTTTTTGAGTTCATACCGATTGAAAACGCGAATGCTGAAAACATCGCTCAAGCACTTTTGGAAAGGATGAGTGCATTGATCCCACCCAAAGACAAGACAAAATTAATAGCTCAAGCTTATGACGGAGCGAGCGTTATGCGGGGTGCCACTGGAGGAGTTCAGCGTAAAGTGATGGATGTGTATGAAAACGCACACTACGTACATTGTTACGCACATCAGCTCAATCTGGTAATGCAGCAAGCCACCTCAAAGATACCCAAGGTCTCCACATTTTTTTTGGAGCTAGGTGGATTTTGTGCATTTTTTTCAAGGTCGCCCAAACGGACCAGCGTGCTTGATGATGTTGTTGGCAGCAGACTTCCGAGAGCGTGTGCAACAAGGTGGAACTTTCACAGTCGCTCAGTGAACACTGTATATGAGCACAGGGATGATCTTCTGAAGTGTTTTAAGACCATTCAGGACTCTGGGAACTTTGATGCTGTGACTGTGAGAGAAGCAGGAGGGTTTGTGAGGATGCTGGAGGATGGTACATTTTGCTTTTTTCTCCAACTATTTCACAAAATCATGCCACACGTCGACATGCTCTTTCAGCAGCTTCAGAAACGAAACATTGACCCCATCTTCATCAAAGCTGCCATCTGTAATTTTGCCGACAGCATTAGAAACATCAGGTAAATGTGAAAAATGTGAAAAATCATAGAAATAACATGAATGCAGAATAATGTAGTATTAAGCAATTGTTTTATGTTTAAACAAGGTCTTCCATATTCACTGTGCAAGAGGAGATTCCAGCTGCCAAGCGACAGAGGACACTGGGGCCCGCAGAACAACATCGGATTGCTATTGAGGTACAGCTTATTTCACTTTCATAGGCCTCCTCTTGTGCTCTAGTCTACAGTAGTGCTTCACAAACTGCTGCACGGTTACTGGTGCCACTCAAAGGTCCTCTGTTGTTCTATAGTTTTAATTTTGTGTTATGTTTGGGAGCAGTTACTAATGTTTTGCCAAATCAAATTCACTTTATCCGTTAGGGACTTCATTTGCTGAGAAAGTGCCACTACAGATAAAAACATAGCACATGTACTGTACATTACAATAATTTTATTTTGGATTTCCTCTTAATCTCAATTCACCAATGATTTAGTTCTATTGTAGATCCTTGATTAGTTTTGGTTTAGACAACAGTATTTCATACTTGATTTTTGCATATCCACATTTACAACTATATTCAAAGTATTGTGACATAATATAATAAAGTTATATGTAAAGCAATTAATATGTTATTTATTTTCTATGTTTTACAGGTGTGTGATACCATCTGGGCTCAGACAAAGGAGCGCTTTGCGTTCACTGGGCACCTTGTGAGTTCAACACTGCTGCAGGGAGAGCTGTTCTCACAGCATGCTAAAACCTTTCCAAGTGCTGCATTGAATGCCACTGTGGAGGCCTATCCGATGCTGAACAAGGCTAGACTGAAGACAGAACTATCCTTGGTCTATGAAAACCCGGAGTTTGAAAAGTGTAGTGGTGCAGTGCCTCTGTATCAGTTTTTTATGGAGAACAACCTTCAGTGCACATTTTCAGAAACTGTTAATCTTCTGAAAATCCTTATCACTACTCCAATGACATCAGCAGAATCTGAAAGATGCTTCTCCACTCTAAAAAGAATCAAAACGTTCCTAAGGAGCACAATGTCTCAAGAAAGACTGAATGCCCTTGCCATGCTTTCTATGGAGAAAAAGATTGTGAAAGACATGCCCAACTTCAACAACAAAGTTATTGATAGGTTTGCAACCCAGAAAGAAAGGAGAGCCAAATTTCTTTACAAGTGACAGTGCATAATCATCTCGGCTGCTTCTCACCATCAGGAACTCAGCATCTCGTCTGCTCCTACAGGGACATAACAGCATCTCCACTACTCCTTCAAGCACTCAGCATCTCCACTACTCCTTCAAGCACTCAGCATCTCCTCTGCTCCTCAAAGCACTCAGCATCTCCTCTGCTCCTCCAAGCACTCAGCATCTCCTCTGCTCCTCCAAGCACTCAGCATCTCCTCTGCTCCTCCAAGCACTCAGCATCTCCTCTGCTCCTCCAAGCACTCAGCATCTCCTCTGCTCCTCCAAGCACTCAGCATATCGTCTGCTTCTCCAAGCACTCAGCATCTCCTCTGCTTCTCCAAGCACTCAGCATATCGTCTGCTTCTCCAAGCACTCAGCATCTCCTCTGCTCCTCCAAGCACTCAGCATCTCCTCTGCTCCTCCAAGCACTCAGCATCTCCTCTGCTCCTCCAAGCACTCAGCATCTCCTCTGCTTCTCCAAGCACTCAGCATATCGTCTGCTTCTCCAAGCACTCAGCATCTCCTCTGCTTCTCCAAGCACTCAGCATCTCCTCTGCTTCTCCAAGCACTCAGCATCTCCTCTGCTTCTCCAAGCACTCAGCATCTCCTCTGCTCCTCAAAGCACTCAGCATCTCCTCTGCTCCTCCAAGCACTCAGCATCTCCTCTGCTCCTCCAAGCACTCAGCATCTCCTCTGCTCCTCCAAGCACTCATCATCTCCTCTGCTCCTCCAGGGGAGATGCTGTTGTGCTTGGAGGAGCAGAGGAGATGCTGTTGTGCTTGGAGGAGCAGAGGAGATGCTGTTGTGCTTGGAGGAGTAGTGGAGATGCTGTTGTGTCTCTGGAGGAGCAGAGGAGATGATGAGTGCTTGGAGGAGCAGAGGAGATGCTGAGTGCTTGGAGGAGCAGAGGAGATGTTGAGTGCTTGAAGGATTTTGATTTTATTTTTTGTGTGTGTCTGCCTTAGAGGTGGTTTGCTGAAGGATAAGATTCATGATTGACTCATGTGAACACTGGAGACAATGTATAGCATTTTTTATTGACTTGCTCCCCATTCCAATTAATGTACAGTCTTCTCCATCTAGTGGTTACTCCATATAATAACAGCGATTATTTAACTCTTTGTGTTTATTGAATATTGACTCTGCACTTACTGTAATTCATGCAAATTATAGCAATTAGTTCACCTTGTATGACTTGGTTTCCAAATGAATCTCAAATTGGCACGTCTTTGAAAGAACAATATTTGAAATCTACAAGGACGTTCTAAATTCATACTTTAATAATTACATTAGATGCTATTTGTTTTTGAGCCGTTACTTTGGTGTTAATGTAATAAATAAACGGCAGCAATTGTTTAATTGTTAAAATAAAAATTTTAAAACCACTTTGCACCTCAGCCCCCCCTACTTTTTCCATCACCAGCCGCCACTGATATATACATAATATATATATTAGGGGTGTCAAATGATTAATCGCGATTAATCGCATCCAAAATAAAAATTTGTGTTTACATAATATATGTGTGTGTGTAGTGTGTATAATAATTTTGTATATATAAATACACACACATGCATGTATATATTTAAGAAAAATCTGTTATTAATATATCAAATATTTATATTTATATATAATATTAATTATGTATAAATATATATAAAATATATACATGCAAATATTTATTAAATATATACATGCATGTGTGTGTATTTATATATACAAAATTATTATACACACTACACACACATATATTATGTAAACACAAACTTTTATTTTGGATGCGATTAATCGCGATTAATCATTTGACAGCCCTAATATATATATTATTATTTTTTTAAATATGACATTGTGAATATGGAAATGTGAAATGATCAATTAAAAATATTATTTATGCATAAAAAATAGTATAAAGAATTCAGTTGGTTATTAATACAAAGCAATAATATTTTAAGAAGTATTTAAAATAATTTTTAAGAATTTGCTATTAAAAAAAAACTAACATAAGTATTAAAGGCCCCTCAATGCCTTTAAGTGTTATGGCCATTTATCAGAAGAAGAAACTTTGATTTTGTCCATCAGGATTGATTGGATCGTTGTTGTGGATTGCTACTGCTGTGATCTTATGTGAGTGACAGGTTGATCCCGCCAAACACGTCATCAGAGAAGAGAAGAGATGTTGTTGGGGAAGTTATTTTGATTAAAGGTTATGAGTACACATGAATAAAAAAAGATAAATCATTAAAAAAAAAAACACTGCAATATTTCATTACCCAGAGGGCATTTTTATTGTGGCTGGTGATTTTAATCATGTCAATCTTAAAAATGTGCTACCCAGCTTTGATCAGCATGTCAAGTGTGCAACACAAGGGAATAATATACTGGACTGTGTATACTCTAATATTAAAAAGGGATACAGAGCCTCCCCCTCGCACACCTGGGCCAGTCTGATCACCTGTCACTATCCCTGATTCCAGCGTATGGCCCTGTTATTAAAAAGCAGAAACCTACTGTAAGAACTGTTAAGAGGTGGCCTGAGGATGCATCTCTACAGCTACAAGACTGCTTTGAACGAACAAACTGGACCTTGTTTTTTAATCAGGATGTGAATGAATATGCCTTAACTGTTCTTTGTTCCATTACCCTAACAGGAAACCTTGGATGACTGCGGAGGTATATGCCCTTCTGAGGGAGCGCAACATAGCCTTTAAATGGGGACATAGCATTATATAGCACAGCCAGGCACAACTTAAAAAAGGGCATTAAGCAGGCAAAAGCTGTGTACAAGGAAAAGATCGAGGGCCACTTCACCAACAAAGATCCAACAAGGGTGTGGCAAGGAATACAACAAATCACCAATTACAGGGGCAGCCGTGAACCACCTACAAACATCAATGCCTCCTTGGTAGAGGAGCTCAACCGTTTCTACGCCCGCTTTGAAACACCTGGACCAGATAACGGAGCCGCTCCTCCCCTTGCTAATACAGCCCTCACACTTACGGTAGGAAGTCACATCAGAGGAAGTGAGACGCACCTTTAGGTCTGTGAACACTAGGAAAACAGCAACCATCATTCCAGTGCCCAAGCAAAGCACCACATCAGCACTCTGAATGACTACAGACCTGTGGCGCTCACCCCCATCAACCTGGACCAGCATCAGTATGCCTATATAGGGAAAACAGGTCCACTGAGCAGGGGCGTAGAATTTAGTAGGGACGCTAGGGACGTGTCCCTACCAATATCCAGTGACACTGATATATCCCTAGCAATATTTTCGATCAAAACATTAAATATATTAAATATTGATGTCCCCGTCCCCACCAATTTAAAAATCAAACCTACGCCACTGCCACTGAGGATGCTATCGTTACAGCCCTCTATAAAGCGCTGACACACCTTGACAAGGGAAAGACATATGTGACACTTCTCTTCATAGACTACAGCTCAGCGTTTAACACCATCATTCCTAACCAGCTGATCACCAAACTCCTTGACTTGGGCCGTGTATATGGATCAAGGATTTCCTGACAGATCGCCCACAGACAGTGAGAATGGGCCCACACCAATCCTCGAGGCTGTCCCTCAGCACTGGAGCACCGCAACAGAGCCGGATTATCCATAAGGGCACTTGGGCCAGTGCCCAGGGGCACCAACCATTCACAACCACTAGGGGGGCACCACATGAGTCAAGCATTAAAAATATTTTTCGTAAATTGTTATATTATTAACTTGAAATTCTTGACAGACCATAAATAAATCGTTTATGAACACCAATTTAACAATAATAATAACAATAATGATTTAATAATAAATTATAAATAAATAAAGATTACATGACCACTATCACTCCCCCCTCCCCAATCTGTCAGAGTTGCGTTGGTCCACAACAAATACGTGCAAATGTGTCATTTTTTTAACGGCTACAAAAAAATGAATTAAAATCAAAACTGGACAGACGTCAATTGAGTGGTTTTGCAAAAAGAAAGTTAAAGAAAGACAACGACGCTAGACGTAGCTACAATTCACAATGTTCCAGGTATCGAAAGATTTTTTGTGAGAACATCACGGGAATTGCGATCACTAGCAGCGCTGAGTCTGACGAAGCCGGAGCTAACTGTGGAGACGGTAACAAAGAAATGGACTTTGGGGATGTAGTTGACACCTTTGCTTGCGCAAAATCAAGGAAGGAGCAGTTCTGCTAAACTTAATACATGAAAACGTTTTACCAGATTTAGTGCTACACTTATTGTCTCTTATTTGTTCCTCACTAAATAATGTTTTTTTTTTCCACTAAATGTTCGATTTTATACAATTATTGTGCACTTGTGATTTTTCTAGACTAAATTTTACTGCTGAGTTACCCACTAATCTAGTTTATATAATAGAATTTTTGTCATAGGTTATGATCATATTTTTTTTTATTTGTTGTTTTTCTTTATAATGAAGTTGTCTGTATTAAGTAGATTGTGTTTAACAGAAAATAGTGATTATCAGTTCAACACACAGAGTTATAGAAATTCTACTTGATTTTTTTTTTTTTTTTAACTGCGCTGGTATCGGATCGGTATAATTCAATACTCAGACTTTTTGGTATCGGATTGGATCGGTTCAGAAGAAATGGTATCGGGACATCCCTAATATTTTCTGGTAGGCTATATCTAAGTTACCCAGGAGCTCTGTTGACATAGGCTTTGCTAACGTTAGTTACAGCTTGATGAATTGAGTTGAACACATCAGGAGAGAACGCAACATTAGCCAGCTAGCTAAAGCTCTGGTGGGAAATTATTAGCTAACGCTACGGAGGCCATAATATTTTTGACTCATGGCTGAAGTTAAGTTTCTCCAACTCTCCCCAGGTTGGCAAAAAAAATGCATCTCAAAATGCATCAGATTGATGCTATAAAATATGGAATATTTAAAAAATTTCTTCCGGGGGGGCATGCCCCCGGACCCCCCTAGAGGGGTAATATCCTTCTCACCTTTTTCACCCCTGACCCCTTTTCATGCCTGTAGAGGTAAGAAACCTGATAGATTTATTATTATTTTTGGGCAAACGTGAATTAACGCTGTCAATTAATTTATGTACATTTTTAATTGACACATTTGAATATAGGGGGCCTTTTGAGGTATAGTGCCCAGGGGCACCACACTGTCTTAATACGGCCCTGCACCGCAAGGCTGCGTGTTGAGCCCGTTGCTCTATTCCATCCACACGTATGACTGCATCTCCACCCACCCCTCGAATTCAATGATAAAATTTGCAGATGACACAACTGTGGTGGGAGAAATCTCGAACAGCGACGAGAACGCCTACAGAGATGAAGTTGACAGACTGACAGGATGGTGTAAAGACAACAATCTGACCCTGAATGTCAAGAAAATAAAGGAGATCATAGTTGACTTCAGAAGGTGTAAGGAGGACCCTCAACCCCTCATCATGAATGGCGAGGAAGTGGAAAAGGTCTCCTGTTTTAAATTATTGGGGATCATGATCTAAAATGGGAGATGAACACAACCGCCGTGGTCAAAAAGGCGCAAGAGGAGCTCTACTTTTTACGAATACTCAAAAGGAGCAACCTGTCTGCTGAGCTGCTTAAGATCTTCTATCAATGTTCCATCGAGAGTGTTCTAACGTACTGTATGACTGCATGGTATGGCGACTGCACAGGGAAGGACAGGGAATCCCTCAATCGAATTATAAGATCTGCTGAAAAAATCATTGGACTTCCACTGCATCCACTGGACGACCTCTTTAAGATCCGCTGCCTCCGCCGAGCGCATAATATTCTGCAGGATGATACACACCCCTCGAACCATCTCTTCTCCCTGCTTCCATCTGGCAGGCGGTATCGGGCTCTTAGAGCACGCACCTCCGGGCTGCAGAACAGTTTTATCCCCAGGGCCATCACAGAACTGAAAAATCATTGGCATTTTCAAATCAATAACAAAGGTGTAGCTTGATGACACTGTGAAGGATCATGGAATGATGGGAATTGTCGTCTTTACCTCCACTGCCAATGGAAATCAATCCGACAGGATTGGATCTATAACCGCTACGTTTGATCCTGAATTTTTATTCTTATACATTTTCCGCAAGTAACGTAATGTTTAATGCTAAATTATACTCATACATGACACTTTATTTGTCTAATTAAATTGGGGGATAAGGCAGCTCAGTTATATTTGTTCAAAACAATCATACTAAAAAGTACATTTTGCAAAAATTATTATGAAAAAAAGCATTTGCAAAAAGGCTGACTTATTATTTATATATTTTACTTGGACCTTAATTACACTGCCATAGACTTTTGTTAAACAGTGTTAGGAAATGCCACAACGATATTGATTCTCGTTTTATTTCTCGTCTTATCCAAAACTCTTCTTGGGTCATTTGATTCACCCATTGCCATGGGCTACGTCCAAAATCACACACTCTCTTGAGTAGGTTATTTTGAATCAGTAATTACTTTACATCACTAAAAAAGTGCATTTTATATAGTACAGTAGGAGTGTGTGTATGAATGTAATCTGGACGTATTACATTCGTCATGTTGTCATTTTCATGTGACCTACAAGCATCAGTTACGTCGGTTCAATGCATTCATAAATCCTCTCCCATAGCCTTATGGGATAGTAAAGTATCCATCGAATGCTCACTTCAGAATCTAGGTCATCCGGGTACTTTTTGCCTACTGTTTTATGAGTACTGTGAATTCAGACATACTTCTTTTGTCACATACTCTTTTTCGCCTATACTATAGGGAAATATGCAAAACTTAGGCAGCTGACTTGTTGCCTTGCTGCCTTATAGTCAATGAGGACAGACTTCTGAGTCAGCGTAACAGTTTAATGTCTACAGCAAAATAGAGTGAGAGTTGGTGGAAACTAAACAAATATTGGTAACACTTTACAATAATGTTCATTAGTTAAAATTAGTTAACATGAACTAAGAATGAACAATAATCCTACAGCATTTATTAATCTAATGTTAATTTCAACATTTACTAATATACATTATTAAAATCAAAGGTTATTTGTTAACATTAGTTAATTCACTGTGAACTAACATGAACAAACAATGAATAGCTGTATTTTTATTAACTGAAATTAACAAAGATGAACTAATACAGTAACAAATGTATTGCTTGTTAGGTCATGTTAGTTAACTAATGTCAACTAATGAACCTTATTGTTACCCATATATTTAATAACTACTGAAGTAATTTATCGCTAGAAATGACATCAGAACTCACAAACTGACCAGCAACCGCAACTTTCAGACGCCATCTTTCTTTTTCTTGCTCAACTGTCACCAAATGGATTGTGGGATATCAAAGGCAGCTTTTCTGATGCAGCCTTGGTTTCTACAGCAGTAAAAGCGGAAACTTTAGGATATTTTAATGCAAAAGTCTTATATATTGTGCCTTTAAGCATCCCTCTTGAACAGGATTTTTTTTTTCAGATGGAACACACAGACAGCATAAAGCTGCATATAGGCATAATATATTTGTATTGTTTTTATATTAGGTACATTTCTCAAATAACTCAATCCAGAATTTGCAAAACAAAGACTATAACACCTAACTGCATTCTGGCATGTGATCGAGAGGGTTTATAAAAGGGCTACAAACATCTGTCGCCTTTTGAGAGACCATGAATGAATGGATGATCCAGTGAACGTCCCAGTTGTAACACACAACAGCTTGTGAATAGAAAAGCTTCATTCAGCATATAGTGTGAACAGGGAAAATTCCAGAAACCATGTAACCCATTTAAATCAGGGGGAAAACATTGGCATTTGTGCTCCACTTTGCTTTTTTAACATATTTTGCTTTAAATATTGACACTTTTAACAGATACAAAACCCCAAGATAGATAAAAAATCAGCTATAGTCTGAGGAAGCTTTAAAAGCCTTTTTATTTGTATCGCTCAGCAGTAAAAAGTACAGTTTATGTGTGCTACAAAAGATTAGACATGATTCATAATATGTGAGAGGAGTTTTTTCTTGTCAGCTGAGCAATTATCGCTCCCTCTGCTTACATATTTAAAACTCATGCCAGCACACAAAAAGGACGGAAACAACGAAAAAACAAATACATTTAAACAATATATATATATATAAAAATCTGCTAAGCATACAGCAAAAAAAAAAGAGATATGTATTGAGAAAAGATGATGATATGGTCTTAAAACATGTTACCAACCTTAGTGGCACATGTTCAAAGAAAGTACAAAATAAAATAGTTTATCTGTATGTCTTTATATCTAACAATTACAGTCTATTACATCCAGTGACATCATTGACATTCATCTAAAAAAAAAAAAAAAAAACCTGTACAATAGAGTAGTAAGCACTGAGAATCAAAGAGAAATATAAGGAATTCATTTTGGTCTCATTTATTCTCGTCAATGTTCACACAAGGGACAGAGATAGACAGACAGAACAAACACACTCATTCACCGTTCACTAAGAAAAACATGTCTTCTAACAATATATATATATGTTTATATATATATAGCGCCAACCTGTGAAGCAATAGTAGTGCCATTTTCATCAGAGCATAGCAAATAAACAAATGGGTTTATTAAAAAAATGCATTTCCACTACAGTTATACAGTATAATGCTTAGCCCTGCTAAGTTGAACACAAACACATACAATATGAACAGATATGATGTGAAATGTGAAGCACAGTAATATTACCATACAAAGGCCTTTGTATGAGACATTTCATTGGCATTTAATCATTTTTTCTACTTGCTTGTGCAACTGTCGACGTGAATTTTAGGGTGTTAGGGAGTAACGAAATCTTGATGGAAACAAAATCCTGTTTCATATAGTCTAAAGACATACACCTCAGATGCATGCAACAAGACATATACACTCATGAAAACATCTCCGACATCTAAGGAATGGGACAATTGTCGTTTTGTCTTTTGGCTGGTGACTCAACATGGGGACAAACATCTCAGAAAGTCATGATTCGTCGTCCATCAAATGCAAACAGGCAATCAACTCAAGTTCCTCCATGAGGGAAGCGAGGGTTGCTGCAGTACCCACAGGACCAATCCCAGAACCGTTCCAGAATCAATGCCCTTTACCCCTGCATCCCCTTACATACGGAATTCAAGTGCGGCAGGCTTTTTTTAAGTAATCATATTAAGTATTTTGGGTAACGTCACACAAGCATCCTTACACCACGCGCCATGTTTCTCAGCACTCTGCACAACCAAAGCCACTGGAACATATGAGCAACAACACTTAACAGTTTTTATTCAAAAAAGACATAAAAACCCTTATCACAATGAAGCATTGGTAGAAAATCCACATCAGAAAAATATGCAAGGGCTCCCCCTCCTAGTAAATAACATTTGTTCTTTTTTGTAATATTCTTTCAGCTCATTGAAACCAGTTTCATTTATAAACCGCAGTCTTTGAAGGTTCACCACATATGTGTGTGTATATATATATATATATATATTTATTTATATATATTCTTAAAAAATGCAAGCAAAGAAAAGAGACTGGAAAATCCTCAGGGATTTTGTCTCCTTTTAATATAGTGTGTTTAGATGTCAGAGGCCTTGTCTCTGTTGATAAAGAGAGTCTCTTGACAAAAGGGGTTAACCAGAACCACGCCGCTGTCGCTGTAGTCACCATTAGGGGGCAGACACGTCTCCTGATCCTGAAACACAAAGAACAACATTAGCACTTGCTTTCAGGCTAACTAAAAAGCTAATCACTCAAGAGCAGCTGCTACAAAGCTAAATGCAGTTAAGGTGAAAGGAACAGGTATTCTTCTTAGGATCTATGTTCTTCTTATAGACACAAATGTGCATTTCTATGGTGTAGTGATTGAGCTCTATTGCCATGGAGACGGCGTGTGTGACATAAATGGGAGGAAATGAAGGAAGAAGCAGGTTAAATTGCTCCTGTGGGGAAAGACAACCTATTACGAGGCTCTAGATTCTTCTAAGACGATGTATTTTGTCATTGATTCGTATTTGGTCACACATATTGGGATTTCTAATTCAGACATCAAAATGAATACATCCATATTATCAAATCTAAACTGAGGGACTACGAAAAATTGTGAATAGCATAAGATACAATAGTCAACAAAAAAAAACACTGATATAGTGGAATACTGAGGACAAAGGAATAAAGGAAGGGAGTGGATGTCTCTGTTGGTTCTCTAAGAGAGGTAAAGGAAGATATTATGAACACCTGGGTCACCGGCATCCAAAACATGATTCATCATCATCATCATCATCACCATCATCATCATCATCATCACACTCCTGTCAGAAAATGCCAGCAAGCAGGAATGAAAAGGTGGAAAACAAGAAGCATGGAGAGGTTGAAATGGAAAATGTCAATGAAGGGATTATGGTAACAATCTGACAAAAGGTTCAGGGAAAAAACAACTAGTGAGTTTTTTAAATGAGATATCTGGTCCCTGGACACCAGGTGGCGATATGTAACGTGAATGGGAAATCATGTTAAAACACTCTCAGTTACCATTAAGTGAGTTTTTTCAAGCACACATTGTCTTGATTGCAATGATTACTGTTCATTTCATAATGATACGCCAGCAAAAAAACAAAAAAAAAACATGATGTGCCGATTAATCCAATTAATCGCACATAAAATTTGGCTGAGAAATTACCCCCGAAAGATCATATAAAGTATGTATTGTGCTAAATGAGAAAAGCATCAAATAGACATCACAAAAAGTAGCTTTAGGAAATTAAATATTTACAACATAAAATGTAGCATATATTTACACATTTACATACCAAAGCAGTTTGGTTAACAACCAATCTACCAGTAGGTGACTTAACTGTCTAAATAAGTAAGTAATTGAGTCATTCATTCATTCGATTCGTTCAAACGGCTGATTCATTCAGTAATTAAGTAAATGGTTCTCTTTATGAATGGGCAATTGAATCATTGTTTCGCCCGATTGATTCGCTCAAAACGCGGAATCATTGAAAAACGAAACACCGCTGTGTGATTTTGGGAGACGCACAACAGTTCTCCTCTAGCTTTACAGGTAGTATTTTCATTAGCAAAATTGAAAACTGTATAAAATCTAAATCATTTGCACTCATGCTATTGGGAAAAAAACAGCACTTGTGTGATATTGTTTAACTATATCATATCATATGATATAAATATGAGACAAAAACTCATACAGGGGCATTTTGCCCTGATATCTTGAATATAAGAGGTATTATAAGCACATTCTATAGGCTACATCATGCAGTAGGTTGTTGCACAGCTTCATGTTCATCACCAATCAACTGTATCAACAATGAAATGTAAGATACATGGGTCTGGATTCCATAACTAATTGGTTAAATGAACGCGTTAAATCGACAGCCCCAAGTCATTCGTGCCAATCAGCCAGATATATTATTCAGAGTAAATGATATTAACAGCAAAACATTTTCTGTTCATAAAAGCATAAAGTTAAATGAAAGCTTAATTGCTGTAAATGGCAAAAACCATATGCTAAAAACATTCTTCAATTTTTGTTGGCCTTCTCTGCACTTTTAAAGGTATAGTATAGTGAAATGAAGGGTAGTGAAGTAGTGTAGTGAAGCCAAATGATGGAGAAAAAAGGGGGGAACGGGATCATGAAATGTTGCGAGCTGGAATTGAACCCAAATCAACCACACGAGCACCACAGCTCAGTATGTCAGAGCACATGTAACCGCTAGACATGTAAGTAAGAAACATTCTGGGGCTTACTTAGAGCCCTAGGAACTCACCCAATTAGTTGTGCTGGGTTCCAATTCACCTGCTTATATACTATGCACTAAAGTATGTACTCTGTGAAAAAAGTACATACTTTTGAGTGTGTAGCAGAAGAGCAGTTAAGACACGTCATAATTGCATCTTTGAAGTCAGCACGAAATGGAAATTTACTTTTATATTCCGATTGCATATTATTGGTCTTATTGTGAACGATTCACAACGAAACGAAAAAATTCGACCCTTGTAATTTTTACTTAAAGGGTTAGTTCACCCCAAAATGAAAATTCTGTCAGTAATTACTCACCCTCATGTTGTTCCAACCCCCTAAGACTTTCATTCATCTTTGGAACACAAATTAAGATATTTTTGATTAAATCTGAGAGCTGGATCACTCCTCCATTGGCTTCTAAGGGATTGAAACTTGCCGGCCCAAATGTTATTAAAGACCTTGTTAAAATAGTCCAAGTGACTACAGTGGCTCAATCTTAAGTTTATCAAGCGACGAGAATACTATTTGTGCGCAAAAAACAAACAAAAATAACGACTTTATTCAACTATTTATTTCCTTCTCTGTGGGCCTCGAAATAGTTCACGTAGTGTAACTGTGCAGCGCTTCAGTGTTGTGCGTCACACGTAGGCTCACTATTGGCCAAGGCTGGTCATGTGTGTGATGCGTGTGACGTACAACCTATAAGCGCTGTGCAGTTACACTACGTGAACTATTGAGGCCCACAGAGATGGAAATGAATAGTTGAATAAAGTCGTTAATTTTGTTTGTTTTTTTGCGCACAAAAAGTATTCTCGTCGTTTGATAAACTTAAGATTAAGCCACTGTAGTCACTCGGACTATTTTAATGAGGTCTTTAATAACTTTTGGGCCGGCCAGTTTCAATCCCTTAGAAGCCAATGGAGGAGTGATCCAGCTCAAAAATATCTTAAATATCTTAATTTGTGTTCCGAAGATGAACGAAAGTCTTACGGGGTTGGAACAACATGAGGGTGAGTAATTACCGACAGAATTTTCATTTTGGGGTGAACTATCCCTTTAATGAGTGAGTCATTGAGCCATTTATTCAAACGATTCGTTCAGAAATGTCCTTTGAGATGCGTTCTGGTTCTGTTATGATCTTTATTTGGAAATATTTTCACAAAAAGATTCAATATTGTGTCTAAAATGTAAGTGACTTCATATGAATTACTTGTTTATTGAACTGTCTGTCATATGAAATCAGTCACATTTTCAATTGTGATGGTATTCAGCAAGCGCGAGCCTCAAAAGCACAACCAAGTTACCGTCAGACAGCCAGCGGCTGTTTGCGGATTAGTTGGCAGTCCGAATGTCGACAGATATTTTTTTAGCGATGATAATTAAAACATTTAATTGCATTTTAAATTAACAAATATCGCAAGTAAACAGCAATAGCCAGAGTTTAGAAAAACATTTTTATTAAGACTGTTTATTAAGAAAATGAATTCTGCATTTATTTTTAGGTGTGCCAGCTGCCACTGTGGCACCAGCACACCCTGGCACACCCGTGGCTACGTCAGTGGTACATTACAATACGGAAGAAAAGATCTGTTGCTACTTCCGTTACATCACAGCTTTAAACACAAAAAGCAGTGGCAGTCAGTACCTCAGTCTCTAGTGATTGTATTTCGCGTGGGAGCTCCACAGCATGGCGGGTGAAGTAATCCATGGTGATGGCGTCATTCCAGTAGCTCAAGTTGTTCTCCTGAGAAGATGACTTCTTCTTTTTCCTCATACAGCATACGGTAAGTAGCACGGCTGAAGAGAAGAAGACATGACTTAAAAGATTAAAATTCAATATCTAGCTCTATTTTAGCTTTAAGACCACTTTTGAATTTGGTATGATGTGTTTCAGAAAAGTTCTAAGCAAAATATACCAAGCCACAAAGGGAATATTATGTTATCCTGCTTCTGTGGAAAATTCCAGTCAAAAATGATGACAGAAAGCACAAATGTTCAAAGCTGGATGAAGTGTGATATTGGTTACTCACAGCATGAGGAGACAGGCACGCTAATGGCAAGAACCAACCACACAATGTCCATTTTGTTCAGGCAGATGGTGAACTTTTTGTGATTAGGACCTAACGCAGGGCCCGACTGGTTTCCAGACCCCCATGGGCCTTGTGTGGTGGCTGGGACCTGCCTGTTCATGAAGCTCCCGCTAGCTGTGGAGGGTGCCTCTGATGTATCCGGATCATTCGCTGCAGGCCATGAGGCTCCAGTGCTGTTGATAACGTCTGTGACATTAGTCAGGGAGACAAGAGAATCAATGGTCATGTTGGTGGTTCCATTCCTACCACCTAGGACTTCCACAGAGCTTCCACTCTCTACAAAAGAAGTGGTATTGGATGTGGTAATGTGGTTGGAAGGTGGGGCTAGAGCTGGAGAAGGAGACTGGATGTCAGTTTGTGCTAAAGCCTCTCCCAACATTTCCAAAGGGAGAGTGGAATTCTCTGTTGACGACACGTCGCGCAATGTAATGGTGTGATGTGGAGCCGACTTGTCCTCATTCTGCCCTTTGTGGGTTTTTGAGGGTGAAATGAATGGTGATGACTGATGTTGTATAGGATCAATGGGGTCCTCTACTCCCATCTCTCCAGTGTCTGGATTCTCCAAAAGGCCCTTGGCACTAGGGGTCACATCACTTTCAGTCCCTGAGAATAAAGAATTACCCGAGCCAGAATTTGTGGTTTGGTTTCCACTGTTCACTGCAGTAGCACTGATCTGATTCCTATGGACCAAACCTGAGGGCTCAAACCGGTTCACTGGCTTTCTACTGATTGTACTCGGCTTATCTGTATTAGTGCTAAAGTTCTGCTCTTGTGTTCTGGGGGTGAAAAACCCAGAGGTTGTTCTATTGAACATACTTCCAGAGGTCATTTGGGGTGCTTCTGCTTTTGAAAGAGGGATACCAGGTGGTTCCTGATCCCTAAGAAGATCAACTGGATGGACCCCTATTATTGATGTCTGACCTATGGCAGAAGGTACAGTGGTCTTCGGTGTCTGGAATGGGTCGACGGTAGTGGGTCTACGGATGGCTTCTAGAGAGGCCAGTGCCTGATTGTGCAGATCCCCAGTGCTGGAACCCTCCTGCCAGCTCAAGGACCCCGGTGAGAGGGTGGAGAGGGTTCTAGTCCTCGTTGACATGGAGACAAGGTCCCGAAGGGTTTGGCTGGGGTAAAGCTCTTCTGCAGAGAACACCAGCCCAACTGGCACAAACAGAATCAGTAGAACACCTGAGAAAGGAAAACAGACAGTGAGAGGAATTTAGACAAAAATCTTTTATGCAAATACCAAATCTCACTGCACCAAGGAAACATTTAGTTCAAGCTTTATTAGTCCACAATAAGGTTCTTACAGGGCCATTCAGAGATGAGTCAAGGAACAGTTTTGAACAGTCTGAATGCTGGTATGGTTACTAAGTGTCTTGATGACATCACCACAAATGGGCGGGACCCTGCTTTATGGTTCAAAATGGTGTTTTATGTCACCACTCCATGCTTAAAAACATATAGATGGCACCTGATGATCAGAGTAAGGACATTGTTTCATCTGCATGCTATTTTAGTTGCTATAGAAACCAAGATTCAGCTCTTAGAAGATGGAAGGCAGTGAGAGATGAGAGAACAACATCACAAACAATATCAAGAAGACATCTGAGTCTGAGTCAGTTCAAGACCAGCTACTGAACAATCGTCATTGTTGACGTCATTGTTGACCTGTAGGTGTTCAAAATGTGACATTCTTTTTAAGATATGCGTTTCATGCTATACACAAAGGTCCCTTCTAAGACTCTGTTTTTATTCAATAATAAGAACAAAGCTTAATGACCCGACCAAAGCATGATGTAAAGGAAAATTACATCATGACACCACTGATTGGCTGATTGCAACACAAAAACAAACACAGTCCCAAACCTTGGAATAAACTTCTTTTCTACAATTACTCTGTTGCATTGATCAACAATAAGACAGCAAGTTGATTGTGTAAAGGTTTGGTGAATCAGGAGTTTCCTACCAATCACAAGCTGCCCTTGCTGAACAAGCTGTGAAGAAGAGAGATAAACAGACAGTTTTTCTTTCAAGTGCTAATGCTAATTCATAATTACCATATCAAACACAAGCATGCCCATGCTAGAAACCGACATGGCTATGATGACAACATGACCATGCTGATTTCAAAGTTCACTACCACAGTACATCAGAATTGAAGGTATTTGCCATGTCCCTTTTTTTTTTTTTTTTGGAATCAAAAGGTATTACATCTCCCATTCAGCCATTCCAATCCAACACAGCATTAATAAAACATCACCCTGTAAATAAAACATGAATCACTGCTTATTTCACAACAAAGTGGCGCGTTTAGATCAGGCACAAGCTCTCAAACTCGCTCCCCTCTGCACACATCCCAGAGCGTTTAACAAGCCGTGGATCTGAAGGTTCACACAGCCACTGAAATCATCTGATCATGAGCTCCCTGGTCCCATGTAAACACACCGCTGTCCTATTAACCAAGTCATGTTTTATAATTTATAATTAAAAAAATGTTAAAGTTTGGAAATGGCTTTCAAGTCTGTTAGCGTAAAAAAAAAAAATCAGTGATTACTCAGTTTGGACTGAGTTTTTATCTTGGTATTTTGATGGCTTGTCTGTTCCCTCTGGGTTGTGTTCTGTTGATATGAATGATGTGTAATATCAAAGATTAGCAAATGAGAAAATCAGAAGCCAACAAACTCCGAAATCCCATCATTAAAGACAAAATACAAGCATTCTAGCATGCTAATCTAGTCTGTACTAGCATGCTAATCTGCTGTACAGCCAAAACAATCTTTATTGCATTCATTTCCTGTTATCGCAGTGAAACAATCTGTATTGTAAAAAGCGCTATGAAGGTGACTTGACTTGTCTTGATTTAATCTTACTATATCTGCCATATGGAATAGTATGCATATACAGTACAGGATAATATATAATAGCATACTATGCATGAACACACTACTCACACTTTATACTACAAAATGGCATAGAATAGTGCATATTAAGTACCTTTACTACCTTTACTGTATCTAACTGCCACATGGAAAACTAGCATATATACTAGGATGTACAGAAAGTTATGGAATTGTGTAGAATTTTTGTTCATTCAAAAGTAATGAGTATCTTTAAAAGATTTGGTACCACTAAGGTGATCTTTGAAAAACCCAAAGCTTGAGCAGAATCCCAGAAGTAGCGTAACAGATTGTGAGATTGTCACTATCAATTGTTAGATTATCAATCGTCAGTTTGATTATTTCAGGTTGTTTTTGCAATTTTTGCGTGTAGGACCATCAGTGAACAGACTGTGGGTGGTCTGTCTGAGTCACAGATTAGGGGTATGATTGTTTAATTGAGATGTTGTTCCAGAAACTACAAAGAATGATCCAGGAACATGTCCAATTTAACAAATCACGTTAATCCACGAGTGACATACTTTACGTGTGTGGTTGTACGTGTGAATGAATGGAAGTTATAAAGAAGGCAAGATAAATATTACGATTCTTTGCTTTTAAAAACACTGGCAGTACCAAGGTTATCTCCCATCCATCAATGAATGACTCACTCTCTAGTGACATTTATGCTCACACACACTCTACACTTGTCTGACTCACAGTGTAATAGTGAGGGGGAGGCAGAGGAGGACAGCACATAATACAATCACAGCACTGGGTGAAAACACACACTGGATACTTTGCAAGATGAGCACTGGACCATAAGAGGCATGTGGGTGTTAAATCAACTACAGGAACTTCTAATGCCCCGGTGCTTGATTTTTATTAAAACTATACCAGATCTTGGGGTGGTAATGTTTTTTTTTTCTTCACTAAAGTTGCCTTTATTTAATGAAAAATGCCGTAATATTGTGAAATATTATAACAATTTAAAATAACTGGTTTCTATTTTAATACATTTTAAAATTTAATTTATCTCTGTGAGGGCAAAGTTTAATTTTCAGCATCATTACTCTAGTCTTCAGTGTCACATGATCCTTCAGAAATCATTCTAATTGTCATGATCACAGTGAATAAGGTCCACAGAAGAAGATGAATTCAAAAATAAAAGTATTTAATCAAACTCAGATAATCCACAGGTAACGAAATAGCATGTGATACACAAACAAATACCAGACAATCAAGGCAGAGAAACAAGGAACTTAAATACACACTGATAACGAACTAAAAGACTAACAGGTGTGATGATCAGATGAATTGCCATAGTAACTAACGATGGCAGGAAACATGAACAAAGACAACAGGAAATAATGAGAAGCAAACTAGAAGTCCATTATAAAGAAACTAAACAAGCAAATTAATATACCTGACACTAATATTCTGATTTGGTTCTCATAAAACATTTCTTATTTTTGTGGAAACTGTGATGCACAGAAAGGTATGACCTCTTTCACACAGACACAGGAGAGGTGTCAGCAATGAAAGCAAATTCAAAAACCAAAATGATGGAAAGTCCAGCAAAAACATTCATTATGTAACAGAGTGAATGGTGCTGTAAAGAGAGGAGAGGTGTGAATCAAAAGAGAGTGACAAGACACTAGAACATGCACAAAAAGGCTGAGAACCCGAATAAAACGTAGAATATAATTGAAAAGGCATATGCAAAAGTTCTTTGTTATTGTTCAGTAGATAAATTAGTTTGACAAGCTAGAGCTTGCACATGGAATGATTAACCTTGCAATAATTGCTTCCTCTGTTTCTGTGCTAAAAAATGACTTTCATTACAAAATTACATGCGCTGCCAACTGCTGATTTAAAATACAACGTTCACAGATGGATGGGGGCTGGAGTCTTTCTCTGACGTAGAAGTATATCACAGTTTTTGTTTCAGGTCTTTTATATTTTGGAACTTTCTTGAAAATAACTAAAGAAGATTTATTTCTCCAGAAGAAATTTTGAAAAATGTTCACACTGCCTTCTCATACAAGAAAAGAGTGCTATAATAGTACCATAAAAGTCCATATGATTATCATTTAAGTCATTATTTACTGAAAATATATGCATATTCAAGTTTTGTAAGTTGTGCAGCATGTGCCAAATTTTTAAGAACTTCAGCAGAGCATAACATTTTTAGCAGATAACATCTTAAATCTCATATGGACTTTTTTTTTTTTTTTTTTTACTTTATGGCAATTTCTTGTAATTTCAACAGCTTGACAGCCCATGGTATATTTGTGAACAATCTTTAAAACATGTTTTGTATTCCCCAAAAAAAATGAATCTGTGATATTGATACTATTATTAAGCGCCAGTGAGCGGCGGTTTAACCCTAGTGCCGGGTCAAAAGCCAGCTAGGTATTAGTATGCATTGCTCCAGCAGCCCTGAACCACAATCTTGATGATAATTTCCATCTACAAGTGTATGTGAGCAAGGTCACGGAAAGGGGGAAATTAACGTAAATGAAAACTCTTTGGAATGTTTATGTAGCCTGTGACATTCCTAAAGTCATACATATAGCTATGACATTAATAAATCACAAGAAAGAACCATCCTGCACACTGATCCTTGAACTGTCTGCAAGTCTCTCACATTAGAGCTGCAGATACTGAGATCTCAAATGGCCTCAACAGATTGTATGGGTTTACAGCTTATCTTCCCATCCATCATTCAATATTACACACTAGCCTCACCTCCGGAGACAACGAGCCAAGATGGCATCTGCAGTATGAGGCTGAACAGTGTTGACTGACACAACGGTCCGCTTGGATCCGAAAGACATGGGTCGGGTTCGATTATTAGTGGCCTTGGGTCTCAGGTAATTTCAAATAAATGTGCTTTTTCCGAATGGACCCAAGAAGACCCGAAGTCTTTTAAACTATGTCGGCCATTTAATAAAATGAAATAATGTTGAATTATTTAGATAATTACCGTGAATATTTGAAAAATAATGATGTCATCTCTAATCATCAGGCAAATAACATTACGACAAAAGTTATAGGACGTATGAGGTTAGTGATGAGTGTAGGGGTGTAACGATACCCTCATGTCACGATTCAAAACATATATCGCGATACTGAACTCACGATACGATATTATTGCAATACTCCAAGACATGATAAAAGGTTAACAAAAAATGTACTGTTGATTAAAATGCAAAATTTGATATTACATTGTGGGTGTAAATGAATAGGCTTTGACTGGTGCTGGTAACCCAATGCACAGGACAATTGTGACCAAAATAAAAAATA